TTGATAGACAATTGTATTGCAATTTATTTGTTACCAATTGGTGCGAAGCTATGGCACAGACAATTTCAGTTTTAATTTTTTCTGGCATGTGTACCTAGTGATCGTACAATATCTTTGTGTAGAGCAGAATTCTTTTGTATATGAACGAATTTGATTCCAATTAATTGTTTCTCATCCACGCAGTAAGCATGTCATGACTATTTCCGTTTGACCACTCAATACTACCCTGCGATTGGAGATGTATTGGCTTCACGTGAACAATAACTAGTTCTGGCCACAATAACATTAAATCAGATATAACCTTAGCTGTAAATTCACGACCTTTGTCCTTGTGCTTTTTATGTGACACACCAAATATGGTGAAAACATAAACTAAATTAGAAGCCACCTTTGAAGCAGTTTTTGACGTAAAAGCTGTAGTTATATATTTTTAGGTGATCTTGGTACACCATAATGAAAATATAGTTTCTATCCTTCTCTGATCGGAAATCGATTAAATCAACCTGTCCTCTTCTGTAAAACTCTTTATATAAAACGGGTTTTAATACTTCTCCCTTCTCTATGTACATTTTATCATGTTACATTTTTTACAAAATGGAAGAAACAGTACAATGGAATCATGGAAAATGCTTGGAAAGCCATTATTAGGTTGTTTAATTCTACGTTCTATAATAATAATAGGCCGCTTTGACATTTCTTCATGTGTTTTTCCCTAAATACCATACAGTTTCTCTAGAAAAACATAAACTTATAAATTTCCCTCAACATTCTCTATTACCTTAGTTGTCAGTCTTTCAAACCTCCAATGGTAAAAAATTGTCGTAACATTTTAAATTGTAATAGTCTATAGTTGCTTAATTTTCTGTTTTTGAAATTAATCTTCGCCATTTGATCATTGTACTTTTGCCATGGGTATATGATCTTTGTTTTCCCTGATATTCCGCAAAGAATGAAAAAAAATGTTGTTGCTTAAATGCTAATAATCCAGATTAAGAAGTGAAAAGACATTAGACAAGATGGATATTTAAGAAATATTTACATATCCAATAAAACAGATGGAAAGATGATGTGACTAGCAAAATTTTATATTTTGACCAGCTCAAAGCGGCTCGACCATTGAAGAGCAATAACACAAAGAAATACCAGTAAGTTATTTTTTGAATACCAAAAAATACTAAAAATTAAAGATTTTTTAAATCAGTTTATATTAGTTTTTGGAATATAATTTTTAAAATATTATTAATTTCACCTAATTAACATGTATTTGGACGATAAACAAAAATACCAAAATTATCGTATTGCCTGAAATGATGTTTAGCAATAGGTTGAATAATCATTATCAGATTTCAGGAAATAATCTTAATGCCCGGAAATTTAATAACTTAATGCCTAGGTGCTAACTTATTGCCTAGGATTTAAGCTAATTGCTTAATTTCACTTATTGCCGCCAATGATTTGTATAGAAATACTATACAAATCCTTGTTGCCGCTAACACATATATTTATGTATAAATATAGGTACCAAATATTAGTGAATGTTATATATATATATCACTACAAACTGCTCAGAGTCTGAAAAGACCATATTTTGTGCTTGACCAGTAAAGTCGAGCACATATTTTACTCGACTAGACTCGACATTATCTCGACAGTACTTAACTGTACTTGACTTTGGTCTCGACTTTACTTAATAAGTCTGATTCAGTACTTGACAATCTTGGTGTAGTCTGAAATGGTCTCGACCAAGGTTTGACCAGTCTCGACCTGTCTCGACTAGTCTCGACCTGTCTCGACTAGTCTTGACCTTCAAATTTAGTGTTGACTGGTCTGAATCAGCCCATCTAACTAAATTAAATATTGATCTTACAAAATTCCAGGTTATTTGGTAGTTTGGTTCATTGCTGTGAAATTGAATAATTTAATTAATAGGTAAAAAAAAGCAAGAATTTTCAGTTTTGATTAAATTCAGATAGTCATCTTTAATTATTTCTATAACTTTTTCAAATCAACGTGGATTTTCATAAAACTATACAGCTATCTTAATTATAAAATTGATCTTAAAAAAGGCTAAAATTTTCAGTTTTGACTAAATTCAGATAGATACCTATAATTTAAATATTTAAATTTGACAGCAATAAACCACATTACCAAATAACCTGGTATTTTGTAAGATAAATATATAATGGAAATAGCTGTAGATTTTGATGAAAATCCAAGTTGCTTTGAAATAGTTCAAAAAAAGATTTAAAGATGACTATCTTACTTTAGTCCGAAAAACTGAAAATTTTAGCTTTTTTTTACCTTGATTAAGGTGGCTCGGGTGTCTTCCTCCATCTTGGATTTTAAAGTAGCAGATAACAGTTGGTATAAATCTTTGATGAAATGTGCAATTTTTTAGAGTAGTATGTAATTCATGTGTAAGACTTTTGATGTAAATATGGAAAATAATGTGTTTTATCATATTTACAGCTGTAATTTCTAAAAAACACCATATTTGTGTTGGATTCCTTTTTTTTCAACTGTGCCAAAAAAGGGAGATAACTCAGATAGTAGGGGAGATAATTCAGATAAATTATTTTTTATAATAGAAAGTGTTGTGAATTTACCTATTTTAATATATAGCAAGAAAACAAGTTCGGTGACCCCATTTCTTCTTTTTCTTATCTGAAAGCATGTTATAAGAGCTATCTTCTCAAATTTTATCTTAAAATTTTATCATGTAGTTTTCTTTTTGTCACACAAAATTGGATTTTCCATGCATAATCTATACAAAATCTGACAACTTTGCACAACCTGTAGCGTGAAAAAAAGTCCGGTGACCCATACTTTTTATTATATTTTTGAAAAAAGCATGATAAAAACTTCATTTTGACAAATTATTAAAAAATTCTATGGATACTAATTAAGACGCCCCAGCCACCTTAAGTTAAATCATTAAATTTGACAGCAATATGCCAAACAACATAACAAACTGGGATTCAGTAAGATCAATGTATAATTGAGATAGCTGTAGAGTTTTATGAAAATCCAAGTTCATTTGAAAAAGTTATAGAAATAATTAAAGATGACTATCTGAATTTAATCAAAACTGAAAATTCTTGCTTTTTTTTTTACCTATTAATTAAATTCTTTAATTTCACAGCAATGAACAAAACTACCAAATAACCTGGAATTTTGTAAGATCAATATTTAATATAGTTAGATGGGCTGATTCAGACCAATCAAGACTGAATTTGAAGGTCAAGACTAGTCGAGACAGGTCGAGACAGGTCGAGACTGGTCAAGACTGAGTCGAGACTTGTCGAGACTGGTCAAGCCTTGGTCGAGACCATTTCAGACTACACCAAGATCATCAAGTACTGAATCAGACTTATTATGTAAAGTCGAGACCAAAGTCGAGTACAGTTAAGTACTGTCAAGATAATGTCGAATCTAGTCGAGTAAAATCTGTGCTCGACTTTACTGGTCGAGCACAAAATATGGTCTTTTCAGACTGAGCAGTTTGTAGTGCATATAAAAATGGGTACATTTTTTAAGTAAAAAATGGCACACCCCTACCAAAAAAATTCGAAGTTACCCTCTCCCCCTCCCCTTTCCTTGTGATTAATGTCAAAATTTAAATATCCATTTGTAATTGTGTATGCAGTATATACATTTATTATATCATATTGCTGAATAGGCGGTTGTGCATCGGTATTTACAATCGCAATCACCAACAAAAAGTAAAGTAAAGCACATCAATCTGAAATGCAATGTTTGGCCGAGCCGAGAGTCCAGTGAGCCAAAAGTCACGATGTTCTCAATTCAGAGTGTCACTAGGTTAATGAAAGTCGGAAAAATCAGTGTCGCACTAATAATGGTCGGAAGATTAAAGTTGGAATTTCCAAGTTAAATGTTGATAATTCCAAGATTAAAGTTGATAATTCCAAGATTAATGTTGATAATTCCAAGATTTATGTTGATAATTCCAAGATTAATGTTTGATAATTCCAAGATTAAAGTTGGAAATTCCAAGATCAAAGTTGATAATTACAAGATTAATGTTGCTAATTTCAAGATTAAAGTTGATAATTCCAAGATTAATGTTGATAATTCCAAGATTAAAGTCGACAATATGAAGGAAAAAAAAGAAATAGGATGGCCCTAATACGCTTCCATAATTTGGGTTTCTAGACTTAAAGTCTTTTAAAAGGGCGTAACTTAAATAATGCAATAAGGAATAAACATTTCAAAAATAAATACACTTATTGAAGACTTATTCAAACTACTTAATAAGTTGCATAGAAAATTTGAACATACAGTACATTGCCAAAAGTATTCGTCGCCTATATTTTACATAAAAAACACATTTTAAAAATATATTTTGAAGGCATTTTTGGTTGGAAGGATTTTTACAAACCAGGTGTGGAAAGATGGAAAATTCTCTAAAGTATAGTTGTTTATTTGGTCATGGATTTATCTTCATGTATTTTCGTTTTCTCCTGATGTGAACACGTATAATATTTTTTACAATTTAATTTGGTTGAAATAAATGCAGCGAATTTCTGAACAAAAAAAAACAATTGTGTTTATACCATCAGAAAAAATAAAAACGCTCCACATCAAAAATACAACAAAAACAAAAACAAAAAAATAAACCTATGATAGTTCTGCTTCTATTGGTACCAAGTTGGCTAAAAATCCTAAAATCCATCCAGAAATGACAGCACAATATTTTTTTTTAAAAGCGTTCCTAGATTAAATTCATATTGGCCATCATTGCCAGTCAACATATGAAAAGATGCATATTAAGACAATCTTGTGATTTAACTTCGAAATTAATGTTAAAGTGTCCTCACGGATGAGTATTTTATAAAAATTTTAATGACAAATTGAAATCTTCAAAAAGTATTACTTGCACAGATTACCGTTAACTGTAAAATTTATCTCTCCCAAAATGATACGGGTTAAAACAGAATCAAAAGTTCTTAACATTAAAAGAAAACAGAATAAAATCTTACCAGTCGTAGTAACAGTTATTATGTTCCAAAGTATAAGCTGGACATATATCTAAAATATAAAAAATAATAACTTGCATCTGATTTAATGTAGTTATACAATTACCTAAAATATCTAACGAGTCAGAAATCAATGTAAAAATATTAATACAAAACACACATTTCTATCTTTTAAGCTCAAGATACTAATTGATAATGGTCATAAATATAATAATGATCAATCATTACATCTGGTATTTGTGGGATGAACACCAATTAGTTAATTTAAAGTTTGAAGCAGGTCAAAAATGTTGCTTTCGTTTTTCTGTATTTAATTTTTTTACAATCTTATTAGAATACTGAAGAAAATTCTGTCATCCTGTTCTGTCAATAATGTTTCTGTGTGAAATATTTTATGAAGCACAGGTTCCTATATTAGGGTATATGACGACAGGCGATCATAACAGCAGGATAACATTAATAAATACAAAGGGCTTGTTTTCAAAAACAGCACTGTTTGATGTGGTATATTATTGTTTATTATTGTTTTGTTTGTATTTGTGATTTTTGCAATATATATTTCCGTTTTTTCCTGTGCAGGTTTTTATTGTATGGAATTAAAGAGATGGATATGATTGCCAAAGAGAACAAAAGAGACAACTATCAACTAGAGTCCACAAGACGAGAATGTAAACTATAACATGTCATCGTACATACTGCATAGTAAGCTATGAAAGGGCCCGGCATGACACATGAGAAACAATTCAACAGAGAAGACCAACGACTTGAATTATGATAATCACAACAAATGAAAAAACAATTATTGCTGACAGCAAATCAACGACAACGATTGGATTAGTGGGTCCTGACATGGTAATGCATGTGACGGGGTTAAACATGTATGTAGCTTTTCTTTTGCCTGTCTTAAAAGAGAGGCGAAAGCTACCAAAGGGATATTCATAAGTCGAAAACGAAGTCAGAATGCTTTTCAGTAGTTATGTCATATCTTAAAAATACAAATGTTATACGTGAAGTAGATATGTGAAACTCATCAAAAGCTTATAATTTAGTAAGTCAGACGTGTGTTTTGTCTACACAAAATTCAACAGTGATGCTCAAATCAAAGCAGCTGGAAGGCCAAATCTATTACGAAGTTGTAGCGCATCTAAAACTACGCATACAGTTAAAACAAAGTTGTGCCAAATCTAGCTCAGGCAATTTATGTCTGAGTGTTAAAAACCGTAGTGTTTTGAAAATTTTAAACGTTTTATCAACTGTAAATTAACAGGACATGATCATATAACTGATATTTCATATCAGCACAGACGTACTGACTATTTGGCTGGAGTTATCGTCGGGGACGAAATGTCCACCAGCAGCGGCATCGACCCAGTGAGTGTAAAAACTCGTCATATATACATGTACCAGAATTTTCCAGCAAATGTAACTAAAACGTTGTCAATGAGGGAGTAAGGTTTTCCAGTTACAGTTTCAGATAGTATTCAATGTATTTGTTATCATCAAGGTGACTTTTAACAAAGTTATATTGTCCCTACTTCAAATAAGAAATTAACTAAAAGTGTATTAATACCTTAAATGTTTAGTTTTTACACTTCATTTCAAGTGCCAGTATTATAATATGTTACGTAACAAAAGTGCACTTAAGTACCAACCAATAATGTTTGTTCAATATTTGTTTCTATACAATAATAGTTAGCTGAGAATTATGGTATATTTTGACAAAAGGCAATTATTGAAGGGTTAAAAGTCAGTATCTTCTGTATATTGCTCACTCAAACAGACACATTTTGTTACATTATTTAAGAAATGACTGTAATATTTTTTCTGTCTATGAAGAAATAACATCAAAAATGTGGTGCACACTTAATAACCCGCGTAGCGGGTTATTTTAAAGTGTGCACCACATTTTTTATGTTATTTCGAATAGACAGAAAAAATATTACAGTCATTTCTTATAATTTAATTCATAATTCCATTTTAAACCGGAGTAAATCATGAAAAAACGTTGATGACGTCAAGGTCACATGGCAAAATTATGTCTATGAGCTGATAAACAAAACAACGTCAGCCAATCGGAAGACGCGTTACATCCAAAATTAAATTATTACGTAATTGAATACTAAGTAATGTAATTGTACAAAAAAACTAAGGTTCCAACTCCTTCAGACATAGTTAACCATAGACGATTATAGCTGTTCTGTTTATATATGGCCTTCTGTCCTACATTTCACAAAAATATCTAACGACTAAAATAGATCGCAAGTCTGGAACATTTCAGTATACTCAATCAATTCATATCGTAAGATTTTTGTGAAACGTAGGCCTGGATTTTATGCTTTAAAAATTTCTTGACTTTCCAAACTTATGGTCTTGACCGTGCTTGGTGGAGTTGTTTAAGAGTCACGTGCCGTGCAAATGTAAATCTTACTTCTGTGAACATACTTTTTTGTAATAATTTGTTATGTAACGTGTAACAGGCGATCAATGGATCCGTATCTGAATAAATCAGGATTTCAAGTGTTCAACTCAATTTTTCACCACAACCAGTTGTCCTATTCAAAACAATCAACACATCCATAAATGGATTTACAACGAAAAATATATACACAGCACAATGCACATAAATCAAAATGCAAGGTGAAGTACCTCATTCACAATGCATAACAGAATGCAATCACTATGCAACATGTATCAGACCAATTTATTCACAATGTCACTAACGGATTACTATGCAACATGCATACGGCCCTTTATTACACAATGTCACCAACAGATTACTTTGCAACATGCATCAAGTAAGTATCACACAAAACGTATGAACACAAAATCACATATATACAACTTCTATTTACAACGTCCACCCATATGTAGTATCACCTTGTTAGTCTGCAACTAACCACAATAACACAATGACACAATTACACATGCACAAATCCTTTAATGCACAAGGAATATATATATAAACACAGCTGAACTCACGCACTAACTATCCCTTTCAGTTCCCACACATTGAATATTATCCAAACTGGTAAGGTTTAACACAGTGCACTTTCACTTATACACTTCCACAATATAACAACTTGCAACACCAGCAAGTATACACCTTGTATTCTCACTAATACACTTACACAATACAACAACTTGCAACACCAGCAAGCATACACCTTGTACTTTCACTGTACAATAACTTATTATATAAGTTTCACTTTATATCACAATCACTATTGCAATATCCACATATAAATCCGAACACTATTCATATATATCTTTTGGAATCACTTAATTCACTCTACTTACCAGTTGGAAAATAATCCCAGATGTTATCACTTCAACGGTCCACATAAAACTCACAAAGTTTCTCTGTCTTGAGCTGGTTTATATACTACCATCTGGAACGGTCCATTATACTTGAAGGGGTGAAAATCAAGACTATACCAACTTTAGGGGTGTTTTAATTAATAGATGGTGCTCCAACTATGGAGAAACTTATATACATATAGAAACACAATTAACAGGAAAAGACAACTGGTATTTCACATCAAAACAAATGAACTATGACCGATTTTCGTTACAATTATATCTATAGAATCAATAAATAAACCTTTACTTAAGGCTTCCATTAAAAATATACATTGAAAGATATCCAAAACATTTCCCGACTCGATTTGAAGCTTGCAGAAGTTATGCTATCTGAGGTTATGTACTTCTTTTAGTTACTTAATTTGGAAACATAGAGCACATGTTGATCACATTTTGACATTTTGCTAACAAAATTGAAAAGATTTTGTTAAAGGAGTTTTGTTCCATCATTAAGGCTCATTGGCACTTTCCTGACGTTGGATATTGGATGGAAAACGGATCCATTTCATCAAGTCAGTAGTTTGTTAAAAATAACGCACAATTTAAATGGCGTATCCATCAATCAGACAATAAAAAGAAATATGGAGTATCCGTCAATGAGACAGTAAACAGAGATGTGGACTATCCGTCAATGTGATAATAGAAGAAGATGTGGAGTATCCGCCAATGAAATATATAAAAGGAGATGTGGAGTATCAGTCAATGTGACAATAGAGGGATATGTGGTGTATCCGCCAATGAAATGAATAAAAGGAGATGTGGAGTATCCGTTAATGTGACAATAGAGGGATATGTGGAGTATCCGCCAATTAAACAGTAAAAGGAAATGTGGAGCATCCTTTACTGAAACAGTAAAAGGAAATGCTGATTATCCGCCAAATAAACAATAAAAGGAGATCTGAAGTATCTGCCGATAAGATAATAGAAGAGATGTGGAGTATCCGTCAATGAGACAATAGATAGAGATGTGGAGTATCCGTCAATGAGACAATAGTATGAGATGTGGAATATCTGTCAATGAGACAATAGTATGAGATGTGGAGTATCCGTCAATGAAACAATAGATAGATATCCGTTAATGAGACAATAAAAACATGTGGAGTATCAATGAGACATAAGATATGGAATATCCGTTAAGGAGACAATAGAAGGAGATGTGGAGTATCTGTCAATAAGACAGCAAAGGGGTGTAGAGTATCTTCCAATGATACAACAGAATGAGATGTGGAGTATCAGCCAATTGAAAAAAAAGAAGATGATGTGGAGTTTCTGCCAATGAAACAATAGAAGGAGATTTGGAGTATTCGCTAATGAAACAATATAAAAAGATGTGGGGTATCCGTCAATGAGACAATAGTAGGAGATGTGGAGTATCCGTCAATATGACAATATAATGAGATGTGGAGTATCCGCCAATTAAACAATATATGGAGATGTGGAGTATCCGTTAATGAAACAATAGATAGAGATGTGGAGTAACCGCCAATGAAACAATAGATAGAGATGTGGAGTATCCGTCAATGAGACAATAGATAGAGATGTGGTTTAACCGCCAATGAAACAATAGATAGAGATGTGGAGTATCCGTTAATGAGACAATAGTATGAGATGTAAAGTATCCGTCAATGAGACAATAAAAACATGTAGAGTATCAATGAGACATAAGATATGAAGTATCCGTTAAGGAGACAA